CCACTCTCATGCAGTCCGACTCAAGCAGAAGGCCGTACATGGGTCTCTTCTTACTCTCCCTACATCACTAAGAGTCTCCAAGATGATGGCTTCAAAGGCCTTGGAAAAACCCCTTCACACTTGTCCTCTGCAAGAAGCCGGAGGCGTAGAACGCCGGTCTACAGCTAAGAGAAACGTTCGGAGGCCTCAGAAGCTCCAGCTAACTTTCCCACGTCAGCTCCCCCCAACCCTCCTCCCCCGTGTGCCCAGCACAGCTCTCCCATTCTCTCCCTCCCATTGTTTCCCAAACATCCCTCCCTTCATAAAAGCTGTCTGGCTGGGAGCTTAAAATATTGCTGGACAGTAAAACCTACCCATCAGGACCGATCCAGTCATATCCTGCTCAGTCGTGCGGCACGTTTGGGGCGGGTTAGAGAAGTGGGAGGTGGGCTTTTAGGTGGCAAAGGAAAGACACCAAAGTTGCCATTTCACTGCCGAGCACCAGGAGAGAGAGAGACCGCGCCTGTTTCTCCGTGGGACCCTGCTCATACCGGCAAGTTTTCCTTGGGTGGCCTTAGGCCGTAACCTTCCCTTCGCTTCCTCTTTCCCAGCACGATCAGGGCCGTGCATAGTTTTCTCCAAGACGAAGACAGTTGCCATCGAGTTCTATCATTGGGTGGAGAGGGCTGCACTTCAAGTTCAACCTTGAGAACCCTCCGGGAGTTCCCCTGAGGGTTTGTGGAGGTTTGGAAGGGAGAGATAGTGCCGGGGTGCGGTGGGTGTGAAGAGCGATGTTCAAACTCCAGCTCTTGACTTCTTAAGGTCTTTTCATTTTCAGAGAGAACGAACGCACACCTCCAGGAATCCAGAGGGACATAAACAAGCAGTCCAGTTACCAATGCACTCCCCACCCCCCATTTTTTCACTAACAACTCTGAGATGGGAGGAAAAGCCACAATGGTTGTGTGCTGAGTGGAGGGGAAGCCACCCGCTCAGGGTTCGAAATGTTGAAGCCCTTCATGGAGCACAGGAAGGATACTGGCTAAGGACCCCAAAACTCTTCCTGGGGCGGATTCTGTTGTCTGTGGGTGAGAGCTGCTGCCTGGTGGCCCTACATACAAAGATGGAGGCACACTTACTTCCCACTGGCAGCCGGAGTGGTGTGTGCCCACTGACGTCTGAGAAACTTGTCAGCATGGAGTTTATGTGGTTCTGTGCCTCTTCAGGCCCCCGAGAAGGCCGCTCGGCCCGAGAAGTTCCCTTCGGTAGGGCAGACCAGGGCTCACATCTGAGCTCTACCCTCCCTAGCTGGGCCGCCTTAGGAGACTCATTTAACCTCTCAGCTTGTCTCTCCTGGTCAGAGTGCTGATAATTCTTTATTCTCCGAGTCTCAAACTGTAGATCTGGCCATTTTAGCTCAAGGCAAAATGTTGACTGCCTGTGACAAAATTTCAGCTGTAATGGAGGAAACAAGGAGGGGAATTTCTCACCAAGTTAAAGGTGTTCGATTTAAAGACTTGACTTTTATTCTGAAATTGTGTCCTCTCTAAGTTTTGTGGTCTTAAAGCCCCCCCCCCGCCCCCCGCCTTAATCAAGTGAGGGTGAAATCAGACTACATGACTCAGTGATCTAAAACATTTCTTATTTTTAAAATAAGGAGTTGGCAGCTGAATGCTATTTTCTTGTGCTTAGTGTGTTTGGCAGTCTGAAATCTCAATAGGAAAGTCACTTGCTTAGCTCATAGCCTGTCGTCAGGACTGACAGGGGGCATACCAATGTGCATCACCGTTAGGAAGAGGTGAGGGTTCTGGCATAAATTGTTGTTTCAGTTATCACCCTTACCCACAATTCTAGAGTGGGAAGTCACCAGGAATAATATGGAGGTCCTAGGGTTGAGGTTTGGAAAAAAAAATAATAACATCATTTAATTTCCATCTGTACTGGATTGGTCCACTCCATTTTCACAACAAAACACAATGGAGGAGGGCAGAAGTGAGGGGTTCTTTTGGTTCCGAGTTCTCCCTGCTCCAGCCTGCTGTTGTGTCTTTACTTCCTTAAATGATCCCTGTACGTGCAAGTTAAGACCAGAGCTGGGGGTGTAACTCAGTCATACAGCACTTGCCTGGCATGTTCAGTTCAATCTTTATCCATGGAGGAAAAAAAAAAAAAAACAACAATTCAAACACATAAACATTTAAAGTGTGTGTGTGGGGGGGGGGGGTTGACTAGAGAGATGGCTCTGTGGTTAAGAGCACATGCTGCCCTTCCAGGGGACCCGGCTTTAAATCCAGGACACATTTGGCAGCTCACAGTCATGTGTAGCTCCAATCCCAGGGGATCTGATGACCTCTTCCAGACTCTGCAGGCACCAGGCACACAGCGGGGCATAGACACACATGCAGACAAAACACTGTACACATTAAATAGATAAATATTGTTTTGCTTTTTCAAATAATTTATTTAAATTTAAAAGGAGAAAGGCAGCAAGAGAGTTCAGCAGGTTAAAGGTAAAGGCTCCCGTCGCCAAGCCTGACGACCTAAGTGTGATCCCAGAAAACCCACATGGTAGAAGAGAACTGACTCTCAAAAGTTGTTTTCTCTCTCTCTCTCTCTCTCTCTCTCTCTCTCTCTCTCTCTCTCTCTCTCTCTCTCT